ACCACTAAAAAGTTAAACGATATAATATTGTATTAAAACGAAATGTGTAATGACTATTAAATAAGTGTTCTACTCTAAATAAGTAATTAGTTATTAAACAACCAGCGCCAATCCCATAAAAAAATATCAAACCAGATGCGCAACTCAAACCGTTTAAAATATAAAATCTCACAGAAAAAACATGCTAATTGCTTTTTTAATTAAGTAAAAAGTAATTGAATACTTAAGCAACAATAAATCTTTAACAATAGATCTTACAAATGTTTTTTTTGATTAGGTGTTTTATATAATGTTGATGTTTTTACCAATGATTGACCAAACTCGATTTATCTTTTATTGAATAGAACATTTTTACAAACGAAACATATTTTCAAGTCCTAAATAACTGAGAAATCATTTTTTTGGTAATTGTAAGTTGTAAACATGTTTTTTTAGTTACATCCAAAACGAACAAGTTTAAATGACACTATAATAATATTAATTTTGGAATAATTAATATAATACTTACCATCGTGTACATACAATGAAACCAGGATATAAAAGGTTATAAAGAAAATGTGCGTTTTCATCTTGAAATCTGTGTATTTTACACGTACGCTAAAAAGTTCAAGAAATTTGCACAGAACGAGTCAGTATATTCAATGTGGATTAGTGTAAAACTATTGTGTTATGATGTGTTTTTTCATTTTATACAGCCGAGTAATACATTTTTCCTGTATTTACAATTGTAAAAACCCATACGGTTGGGTTAATGTATATGGTTGTATGTTATAATGTATGTTGTAATGAATAAGGTAAATATATCTTTTTCTGTTATGCTTCTTTATTATCTATAGTAAAAAATAACAAGAATTGGGCCATTGGGCAATTTTATTTATACAAGCGCAGGGCAGTGTAACTTACCCAGCCCTTCTATATTTGGAAGGTGTGTAGGTACCTAGGTAATGTGGTCGATGGTTTTGATTAAATATTGCCTATACAAAACCCCTTAAAAATAGACCGCATGCAATCGCATGCACTAGTTTCATCACAATGATTCGTTACCGGTACAAAGACATTTTCAAAATAGATAGTAATGTGGTTTATATAATGTCACTTGGGCGATACGATAAACTGTGCTACGCCACTTTATATTTGAATAACAACTAGTTGTTTCTACATAACCACTTAATTCTTGTGAGAAAACAAGAACAACCTCACATATAGGATATGAGGTCTTAAATATCATATACTTACTCCCTAAGGTTCACCATTAACAATTTACTTTCTACATGTAAATAGCATGCTAACCATTGTCTGAGTTAAGTCCTGATATCAGATATGACCAGAAGTTTTAAACACAGATAAGAAAATAAAAAAATAATAATTTTCACATTGATTAAATAATATTATTATTGTTTATTTTACTTTCAAGATAAATTATGTAATATACATGTATCATGTTTAGGAAATATTGATTTAGGAAAAACAAGCGTGTCCAACTACGCAGAATGTTTATTTCACTGAAATCGTATGCAATCTTACTCTTCCGTTGCTACAATATTTGTGAGGAGTTCATTGTCACGAAAAGCCCTATAAATCAAAAAATAATTTATTGTTAAAAACCATAAAAACATACTACTTGCTGCAAAAATTGGCAATCATAAAAAATTGTATTGTGTTAAAAAAAAATTTGCATTATTTTTTTAGTTTTACACACTAAATCTAGTTTGCTGAACCACTGGACCAAAACTAAGCCTTAAAAATGAATTTGAAAAATCAGTTTTTGGGGGGAAATTGGCAGTGCTGTATTAAATAAATAACATATTGCAAAACAATTCCAAAAAAAAAGTAAAACGTGCTGTATTTTTAAAAGTATATATTGTTATCAAGTCCATTTAGTTTAATATTATTACTTACGTGAGACGTTCTTCAGCATAAGCTGTAAACAAAAATGTATCAATATATATTTTATAATATTAGTATACAATATCTGATTTATACCAGTTTAAACTGCTATACCTGCCTAGTGGCGATCTGAACAAATATTTATTTTGAATAAGTTTCTCAATTTCTTCCAAGTAATCAGAATCAAAAAATATAAATTACCTCCCCTTATCGGCATTTGAGTGTCTGTAATGGTACAAAAAGTATATTATTATTTAATATTTTGTCTAAGTAGTGTATACTATCATAGAGCTTACTTTTAGTAACTATAATATATTTTTTTAAGTTTGCTGAATAAAAAACACAAGTTTGAGAAATGTTTTAATTAATATAAAAGTAAATAGTTGTATAATATTATATTGTAATAACTTATGGTTAAATATAAAATATCGTTTATATAAATAAATCAAACCAACATAATGGGGTAAGAGGAATTTTCTTATAATAGTTTTTATGTGTAGCTGAGAAAGTAGTAATTTTACCATGATGTGGGCTTTTTTATTGTCTGTATACACTGTAACTTTTTTATTACTTCGAGTAGCCACTCGAAGTATGCTTCTAATATCCATAGTAAAAAATAACATGAATTGGACAATTGGGCGTTGGCACTTTTATTTATACAAGCACAGGACTGTGTAACTTGCCCTACCCTTCCTTATTTGTTAGGTGGGTACGTTCGTAAATAGGGTGGTCGATGGTCGAATTTGATATAATATTTTGTAAGCACACAACGATGTAGAATCTATTTTGTGGATAACATTATATAGAACATGCATCAACATACTATGAATTATCACAAAACAGTTCAATAATAGCTAGTACAGAAAACCGTAATAACACGTTGCCAACATTAACCAGTTGTATTGTATACATTAAATTGTGTTGAATTAACATGAATTTGTGTTTGCATGTGGTCTGTTTTTTTGACGTTTTAATCATAGAAAAAATTATTCAAATAAAAAAATAATACCTAGAAGCTTACACAAATTAACCGGTAGATGAATTGGCATGTTTGAATTTTATTAAAATCCGTTTTGCTTAAATATTGCTTATACAAAACCCCTTAAAATTAGACCGCATGCAATTCCCTTGTCAATTTTTTTTATTATTGTGTTCATAATTATCTGATCTCTTAATCAATTAATTTGATTCGTTTTTGTCCTTTGATTTGTCGCAGTTAAGGAAATAGTATTTGTCATACATTTTCCATAAAATCAAATTAAACACTATATAAAGTGATAATTATAAATATTTACATATTTGAACAATTTAATAGATTAACCTGGTATCTTAATGTTACAAAATAGTTATTGACTATAATATTATTGGAACAACACGGTTCTACTGTCATGAAGAAAAATAGTTCAAACATAAAACAATTGAATAGGTACCAACAAAAAAAAAAAAAACGATGAAAACTACTCGTTGTCGATAAAAGACAAACCGTTAAATTTCCATATGGTATTGTTTGTAACGTTTAAAAACAGTCAAATGTGTTAAAAACATTAAACTACATGATACCTACTGGCGTGTGTGATTTTTAACACTGCAACTATCATTATGGAAAACATAATAAAAAGTATACAAAAAAACACATTTTATAATGAAATCAAATGTTTAGTTAGCTTTTATGTAAACAGTTTATTTAATCCTTCACTGCACTATGTTTAAGACCTGTGGTCTAACTCGTTGTTTTGCCACCCAATCCTACTCATACTAATCCTTCAATTCATCAGCATGTCTCGCCTTATCGGTCGTTCCAATGAAACCGACTAATTAAATTAAATTATTGATTATATTATAGGAGATACTTTAATTCATGATATCTTAACTAGTCAAGTTAAATTTCCAAGACAAACAAATATATATATTTATAGGTTCTTCACAATGCTTCGTTACCGGTATATTATAAGCATATGGCTCCGGCAAGCACAAAAAAAAATTAATAAATAAATAAATAACAATAATATAAAACTACAAAAATAATATAAAATTAAAACTATTATTGAGCGCATTCAGGTCTCCGACAGTGATTTTTATACAATTTCTGGGAAGGTTGACGAAAGTTGTCTTTAGTGAGTCATAAAGTCATCCTTTGTGTTATGGTCAAAGCTATAAGTTATTAGCTTATTAGCTCGCCTATGTCAGTCGGATCATAGCACAAAATGCATTTAAATATTTTTTCAGCTAAAAAATATAAAAAATGGCTTATACAATTTCGCATTATGTGGATGTTTTGATTCATATCTCACTATTAAATTGAAAAAAATATTGGGAGACCCCTTGATGTACGATGTCATAGATTTTTTAAACACTTCGGCGCCACTGCTAAGGTGTGCCATTGACAATTTTCTTTCTACATGTATGTCACGCTAACCAATGCATGAGTTGAGTCCGGATTTGACCAGAAGTTTTTAACGCAGATCAGAAAAAATATTTTACATCGATTAAATAATATTGGAATTGTTTATTTCACTTTCAGAAAAAATTATTTAATATACATGAATCATGTTTAGGTAATATTTTTAAAGAAAACAAATGTGTCCAACTACGCAGAATGTTTATTTCACTAATATCGCATCAAATCTTGCTTTTCCATTGTTGTAATATTTCTTAATAGTTCATCGTTACTAACCTTCCTATAAATCAATAAATAATTTCTTATTAAAAACAATAAGAACATGCTACTTGTTGTAAAAGTTGACAAATCATAAAAAATTGTATTGTATTAAAAAAAAGATGTGCATAATATTTTTAGTTTTAAACGTTTTTAGTTTTCAGGACCACTGGACCAAAACTAAGCCTTAAAAATTAATTTCACACATAAGTTTTTGGGGAAAATTGGCAGTTCTCTATTAAATATATGGCAAAATAATTCCAGAAAAAAATAAAACTCATAATAATCGTATAGCATGCTGTAGTTTTAAAATTATAAATTTTAATCATGTCCATTTAGTGATATTTAATTAGCCATCTATGATATACAGTATTTATGTAATACTAGTACTCCAAAACCTGATAATTGTTCATTAAACCAAATAAAAATTATTAATTTTTTTAATATTAGTACTTACAAGTGTATTTCTTTAGCGTAAGCTGTAAACCAACGCGTATTATATTTATTTTATACCATTATTACAATATCTAATTTATTCCGGTTTAAATTACTAGACTTAAGGACTTACCTAGTATCGATTCCTCCAATAATTTATCTTCAATAAGTTGCTTAACGTTTTTCAAGTAATCATTATCCCTATAAATCATTAATTAGTTTTATTATTATTAATAAATGGAAAAATAATACAAAAAAAAAACAACAATCGTTAATGGCATTTTGTATTTTTAAAAGTACATATTGTTATCAAGTATCTTTATCTTTAGTACAATATTTATGTAATACTTGTATTCCAAAACTTTATTATTATTCATAAAACTAAAACTAAAATAATTGCATTAATTCATATTATATTACTTACTCTACACTCAGATATTCAACGATATCTGTTTAAAAAAATGTATCAGTAAATTTTTAGCATTATTATAGAATAGGTATGTAATTCCGTATTAAAAAAATATAAAAAAGAATATATTAGATATATAATAGATTTTATAATAAAGAAAAATATAAATTACCTCCCTCTAACGGCATTTGAGTTTCTGTAATGGTACAAAAGGATATTATTATTTTGTCTAAGTAGTGTATATTATCATAGAGCTTACCTTTATTTATCACAAGATATTGTTTTGAGTTTGCTAAAATTAAAAGTTTGAGAAATGTTTTAATTAATATAATGGTAAATAGTTGTACAATATTATATTGTAATAAATTTCTTACAAATCTCTTGTCAAAATTTAGTTTTATTAAGGTCCCCCCCTTCTAGTTCTATAAGAGATTCAACAGGCAACCGGTATTTTAAAATAATTTTACTATATTGTTAATTATTATTACAATATACACGTATGGATAACAAAGGCATTAATTTATTATAAACATACGATCAAACCAAATATACGATTAATATACAACTTATGCGCACTATTAATATTATATTGATTCTTGTATTTCTATTCACAGACACAGTTGTATGGGTTTATTTGGTTTGTGCTATTTGTAAAAACCAATTTTGTGTTGTATCGGTCCGCCGGTATTTGCATTTTATTAACAATACTTACGATCGCTTTGTTTGTAATTTACACCAACTACGTCGCCTGCTACTAGAATATTTGGCACAAATGTCACAAACGGACATACCACTAAGAAGTTAAATGATAATATTGTATTAAAACGAAATGTGTAATGACTATAAAATAAATATACCACTTCAAATGTTAACCAATTAAACACGTTGGCTACCAAGCCCGGTTTTATAAAACTTCATTGTTTATCATACAGCTGCAGTAAAGACATACTTCAGGCGCACAACTAGCGCCATCTAGCGGACAACTATCAACCTCATGTCGGGAGACGTCTCCCATAAGAAACCATAGAAAAATGTCAAATTCCCATATTTGTACACGTGCACACGAAAAACGACATTAAAATGCCTACTGTGTCCACCAGAGCGCACTGTTTTCAATCAAGTGCCGAGTGTCTAAAATCTATACCGTATACCAGGTATAATAATCATGGTATCCAACGTGTTAATTTCTTGAACATTTCTAATTATGCTTAATACTCATTAAAATTTTAGCCCAAACCGTTAGCAATATAAAAATTCTAAAAAAAAGAACACGCAAATCACTCTTTTGGTTAAGTAAACAGTTGTTGAATAATGGAGCAACAATAAAAAACGAGGATTTTAAAAAAACTTGTTTGTTTTGCGTTTAGTTTAGTTTTAAATTGAAGTTTTTATATATTTCACAATTGCAATAATGTACTGAAATAAAAAAAAATATTGCTCTTTTTACTAATGATTGACCAAACACGATAGAATAACTGAAGAAATCTTTTTTGGTAATTGTAAGTTGTAAACATGTTATTACAGTTAGCTCCAAAACGAACAAGTTTCAATGACACAATAATAATATTAAGATTTAAATAATTAATATAATATACTTACCATCACGTACATACAATGAAACCAGGATATAAAAGGTTATAAAGAAAATGCTCGTTTTCATCATGAAATCTGTGTATTTTATACGTACACCAAAAAGTTCAAGAAATTCGCACAAAACGAATAAGTATATGCAATGTGGATTAGTGTAAAACTATTGTAGTATGATGTGTTTTTTCATTTCATACAGCCGAGTAAAACATTTTTTCTCTATTTACTATTGTACTAACACGCACGGTTGTGTTACAAAGTAAACCTATACTTCTAATATGATTCTTTATTACCTTTAGTAAAAAAGAACCAGAATGGGGCCATTGGGCGTTGGCAAATTTTTTTGTTACAAGCACAACACATACTCGATATATTTATCGATATCTACAATTTGTCGAAATGTTAAATTGCCAATTCTCATAAATAATCAGTATTTCTTGTCCTACCTTTGTAGGGTGGTCATATTAGATGTAATAATTTGTAAGCATACAATGACGTACAACTTATTTTGTGGATAACAAACTATCTCAACAGTCAATTGTCACAAAACATTTCAATAGGTTCAATGATCTTGCAACGAAGGCTTAAATTTGAGGGTTTTATGTTCAAATAGACCACAGCGCTTTGATTGAAATGTTTGTTAGATCCAGTACAGTGTATATTAAAAGTTTCAAAATAATATTGTAACCTTTTTGTGGGATAGGTTAGGTAAACGCTTTGATGCGACACTGTAGATGGTTTAAAATCATACATATATCGACAAACGCATTGAAACCAGTGTTGGGAATCATCTAGATAAATTATCTAGATAAAAATTGTAGTTAACATCTTATCTAGATAAAAAAAAGTAAATCATCTTATTATCTTATTTAGATAAACAAATCGATTATCTGAGGTAATTAATCTAGATAGAAATTGTAACTAATTTTTAAGTTATTTATTCGTGGGTTTTACAAAAACAGGTTTCGGGATCCGACGAAACGCATAATGTAGTCCTAGCCTAAAAATATTAATATACCTAGGTCCTAATGAATAGTGATTAGTGATATAAGAATATATTATTAATACATTAGTCGATTATACAAAACGTCTTTTACCTATTTTTAATAGGTAGAAGTAGATAAGAGTTATATATGTATTATCGTATAATTTATTATTTATATTCGTAGTTCTCGACTACAGTGCTCAGTTTTTATTTAATGTTGATAATTTTTTTCTCAGTACTCTCGAAATAATTACTAGTGCTATATAAAACGTGTTTATAAAAATTTTTACGATAATAATTTCAAGATTAACATTGACCAAAATCCCAACAAAAAAAATGGTCGAAAGTGCAGGTGTTTATTTGAGCAGAATGGTTATAAATTATATTTTACAAATATATATACATGTCAGGCGAGTCCTGTATCAGTAACTACATATAGGGTAAAGAGTAAAGACTATAAAAGTAAAATAGTAAATAGTAATACAAGTCCAATAAACAATGAGCCGTTTCCAAAAAGTTATTTGTAATTTCAATCAAAATAAAATAACAAAACCTTGTAATAAACATTTTAAACATAATGTGGGCTCTCCGTAGTCCGTAGACCGTATGTGGCCAAAACGATAGTTAAGCCTCAAAAAAGAACAATATGTTTATAAATAGTTTCAACCGATAATGAAATGTCCCGTCATCGATTATCGAGTTTGATAAACTCGTATTTACTTTTTATACCTATTTATACTATTACTGTTGCCTACATAAAAGATGACATAAACAGAGTACATGAAAATAATAAATGACAAATGAACAGAGTAGCCATAAATCACGAAATCTAATATAAGGAAAATTTGCTCTTTGACGTAACTGTCCATTTCTTAGTACCTACGTCTTATTGGTTATTAAATTATTCTGTAATCTGTGAAAATACTTTGTTTCACTCATACATTTTCGTATAACATTTTATGAAGGTTAAAATTTAATTTATCTATTTTTCATCTAGATAAAATTGTATTTATCTTTATCTTTTAGCTAAATAAATGTTAAATGAATAATTTAATATCTTATCTAGATGATATATTACTCAATTATCCGTTATCTTATCTAGATAACTTTATAGTTATCTTTTCCCAACACTGATTGAAACTAATATAATGTGTTTATGGTATTAGACTGATACAATTAGAGGGTTGATTAGAAGGAATTAGAGGGAACAAACTATCAATTGTAATTTGTCACAAAACATTTCAATAGCTGGCAGATCAGAAAAAAAAAATAATAATGATCACGTCGATTAAATGATATTATAATTGTTTGTTTTATTTTCAAAATAAATTATGTAATATACACGAATCATTTTTAGGTAATATTTTTTAAAGAAAACAAATTTGTCAAACTACGCAGAATGATTATTTCACTCGTATCGCATCAAATTTTAATTTGCATTGCTGGCAATATATCTAAGTAATGCATCGTTACTAAAGATCCTATAAATCAATAAATAATTGATTATTAAAAACCATAAAAACATGCTACTTATTGTAAAAATTGGCAATCATAAAAAAATATATTGTATTAAAAAAAATGTTCATTATATTTTGGTTCTAAGCTCTAAATCTAGTTTGCTGAACCATTGGACCAAAACTAAGTCTTAAAAATTAATTTCAAAAATCAGTTTTTGAGGAAAATGAACAGTGCTGTATTAAATGGATAAGATATGGCAAAACAATTACAACTCCAAAAAATAATAATAATAATAATAAACTTATAACATGCTGTATTTTTAAAAGTATGTATTGTTATCAAGTCTATTTAGTTATATTTGATTGAGCGCCCATGCTGATATTTCTAAAATTCTTAAAACCTAATTATTGTTCATAAAACCAAAATAAAAACTATTTATTTAATAGTATTACTTACGCGAGACGTTCTTTAGCATAAGCTGTAAACAAAAATGTATCAGTATAATATATTTTATAACATTATTGTACAGTATGATTTATTCCGGTTTAAATTATTATACTATAGGACCTACCTAGTGTCGATTCCTCCAATAATTTATCTTCGATAAGTTTCTTAACTTTTTTCAAGTAATCAGAATTACTATAAATCATTTATTTATTTATTATTAATAATATATGACAAAATAATACAAAAATAAAAAAACGATTGTTAATAGCATTTTGTATTTTAAAAGGAAATATTGTTATCAAGTCCATTTAGTGATAATTGATTGGCCATCAATGCTATACAATATTTATGTAATATTCGTATTCCAACATTTTATTATAATTCATAAAACTAAAAATGAAATATTTTCATTAATTGATATTACATTACTTACCGTATACTAAGATGTTCAACGATTTCTATTAAGAAAAAAAGTATCAGAATATTTTTACATAACTAAAGAAAATGTAATGTATTCCGTTTTATAAATATATCAAAAATAATGCAGAGTATATTATAAGATATATAACAGATCTTATAATAAATAAAAATATAAATTACCTCCTTTTAACAGCATTTCATAATCTGTAATGGTACAAAAAGTATATTATTTTTTTGTCTAAGTAGTGTACATCCCATTAGAGCTTACCTCTAGTAGCTATCAGATCTTGTTCTGAATTTGCTAAAATAAAAAAAAACACTATAATAATGTAATAAATTATGGTTTAATAAAATAGATAAAACAGACTGTGGTAAGAGTAATTTTCTTATAATATTTATCTTTGATGCGTACCTGAGAAAGTATTAAAATTACAATGTTGTGTTTTTTTTGTTTGTTTAGACTAATGATATCTTTATCATTAGTCCTATCGTTATCTTTTTACAACCGTATAGATCATACTCCTTTTCCCCTAGTCGGGTTGACAACTGTTTGATTATTTCTTTTTTTCTAGCTCTAATTTTTAGAACTTAATGTTTGAAAATTAGACTGAAGGTAGATCCTTACAAATCTTTTGTCAAACTTTGGTTTCATAAATGACCCGTCCCCCCCTCTAAACTAAGTTGTTGTGTGTAAATGTTTCAATAGTCAATAGGTATTTTAAAATAATTTTTACTATAATGTTAATTATTATTACCTACGATATACATAAATGGATAACAAAGGCATCGAGCTATTATAGACAAAATATCAAACCGAATATAATGATTTTTGTATTTCTATTCACAGACACACTTGGAAGAGTTTATTCGAAATTGGTTTGTGCCATATTTATCAATATAAAAACCAATGTTGTAATATACCATTATATACAATTAAAATACAATTTTGTCTAAGTACTGTATATTATCATAGAGCTTACTTTCAATAATCATAAGATATTGTTTTGAGTTTACTAAAAAAAAAACACAAGTTTAAGAATTGTTTTAATTAATATAATAGTAAATAGTTGTACATTATTATATTGTAATAAATTACGGTTAAATATAATACATAGTTAATATAAATCAATCAAACCAACTGACTACGGTAAGAGTAATTTTCTTATAATATTTAGCTTTACATGCGTACCTGAGAAAGTATTAATTTTACAATAATGTGTATTTTATTTTGTGAGTTCAGACTAATGATATCTTCTAAACCACAAAACCGACTTTTGCATATAGCAACCCTATGGATCATAATCCCTTTCCCTTAGAAGGGTTGAAAACGGTTTCATTATTTTTATTTTTCTAGCTATAATTTTTATAATGTCTGAAAATTAGACTGAAGATAGATCCAGAGTGGGACTATACCTTAGATGAATTTCTAAAAAAAAATTGGTCAAACTTTGGTTTCATAAAGAAACCCTCCCCCAGCCTAGGTTGCTATGTGTGAATGGTTCAACAATCAACAGGTATTTATAAATAATTTTACTATATTGTTAATTATTATTACCTACGAAACACATATATGGAAAACAAAGGCATCAAACTATTACAGACAGAAGTCAACTCCAATATACGATTAATATACAACTTAAGCGCACCATTATAATATATTAATTTTTGTATTTCTATCCACAGACACAGTTGTATGGGTTTATTTGATTTGTGCTATTTGTAAAAACCAATTTTGTGTTGTATCGGTCCGCCGGTATTTGCATTTTATTAACAATACTTACGATCGCTTTGTTTGTAATTTACACCAACTACGTCGCCTGCTACTAGAATATTTGGCACAAATGTCACAAACGGACATACCACTAAAAAGTTAAATGATAATATTGTATTAAAACGAAATGTGTAATGACTATAAAATAAATATAACACTTCTAATGTTAACCAATTAAACACGTTGGCTACCAAGCCCGGTTTTATAAAACGTCATTGTTTATCATACAGCTGCAGTAAAGACATACTTCAGGCGCACAACTAGCGCCATCTAGCGGACAACTATCAACCTCATGTCGGGAGACGTCTCCCATAAGAAACCATAGGAAAATGTCAAATTATTACACATATTTGTACACGTGCACACGAGACCCGACATTAAAATGCCTATTGTGTCCACCAGAGCGCGATGTTTTCAATCAATTGCCGAGTGTCTATAATCTATACCGTATACCTGGTATAACAATCATGGTATCCAACGTGTTAAAATTTCCTCAACATTTTTATTTATGCTAAATACTCATTAAATTTTTAGCCCAAACATTTAGCAATACCTATAAAAATTTAAAAAAAAAAAACACGCAAAATACTTTTTTGATTAAGTAAACAGCTGTTGAATAATGGAGCAACAAATAAAAAAACGAGGATTTTAAAAAAAACTTGTTTGTTTTGCGTTTAGTTTTGTTTTAAGTTGAAGCTTTTATATATTTCACAATTGCAATAATGTACTGAAATAAAAAAAAATATTGCTGTTTTTACCAATGATTGACCAAACTCGGTAGAATTTTTTATTAATTAGAACATTTTTACAAACAAAACTTTTTTTTTTTAGTCCTAAATAACTGAGAAATCTTTTTTTTGGTATTTGTAAGTTGTAAATATGTTATTTTAGTTAGATCCAAAACGAACAAGTTTAAATGACCCTATAATAATATTAAGATTAGAATAATTAATATATTACTTACCATCATGCCCATGCAATAATATCAGGATAGAAAAGGTTATAAAGAAAATGTGCGTTTTCATCATGAAATCTGTGTATTTTACACGTACACTAAAAAGCTTTTAAAATGTGCACAAAACGAATAAGTATATTCAATGTGGATTAGTGTAAAACTATTGTGGTATGATGGGTTTGTTTCAATTTATACAGGCGATTAACCCATTTTTTGCGTATTTACTATTGTAAAAATACACATGGTGGTGTTATAATGTAAACATATACTTCTTTTATGCTTCTTTAATATCTATAGTAAAAAAGAACAAAAATGATACACATGCTCGATATAATTATCGATATGCTATTTGCCAATTCTCATAAATAATCAGTTGTAACTTGCCCTACCCTTCTCTTTTTGGAAGTGTATTCTCTATTATATGTAATAATTTGTAAGCATACAACGGCGTAGAACCTACTTTGTTGATAACAAACTATCATAAAACATTTCAATAGCTGGTAGTTGGTACAGAAAACAGTAACAGACTTGACATCAGCTGTGTATTAACTAGTTGGTCGTGCAACAATGGCATAATTTTGAGGTTTTTATGTTCCACTAGACGACAGCGCTTGTTTATTGGATCTAGTACACAGTGTATATTAAAAATTTCAAAATAATATTGTAACATTTTTGTGGGTTAGGTTAGGTTATTGCTATTAATGGTAATGTTAACAATCGCTTTAAAATAAACGCTTTGACGCGACTCTGTAGATGGTTTAAAAACATACAAACAACGTCAATCGCATTGAAATTGATATAATGTGTTTAAAATAGTATTCGACTAGACACGGTCTGACTATAATAATTTGTTAACTCAATGATTGATTAAATTATAGGAGATACTTTGATTCTTGATATCATAACTAGTCAAGTTAAATTTCCAAGACAATATATATATATATATATATATATATATATCTGTACTACTAGTTTCATCACAATGACTCGTTACCGGTACATAGACATTTTCAAAATGATAGTAATGTGGTTTATATATTGTCACTTAGGGCGATACTATAAACTGTGCTACACCTTAGATTTAGAACAACAACCAGTTGTTTCTACATAGCTACTTAGTTCTTGTGAAAAAACAATAACAACCTCACATGTAGGATAGGAGGTGTTAAATATCATATTCTTACGCCCTAAGGTGCGCCATTAACAATTTAGTTTCTACATATAAATAGCATGCTTACCATTGTCTGAGTTGAGTCCTGATATGATCAGAAGTTTTAAACACAGAAATAACAAAATAACCCAGAAAATAAAAAAATAATAATTTTCACGTCGATTAAATAATATTATTATTGTTTGTTATATTTTCAGAAAAAAGTATGTCATTATATACATGAATCATGTTCAGGTAATATTTCTAAAGAAAACAAATGTAGCAGAATGTTTATTTCACTGATATCGCATCAAATCTTGCATTTCCATTTCTGTAATATTTTTGTCGTATTTTTCGTTACTATAAATCCTATAAATCAATAAATAATTGAGTATTAAAAACTATAAGAAAATGCTACTTGTTGTGAAAATTGGCAATCATAAAAATTGTATTGTGTTAAAAAGATATTTGCATAATTTTATAGTTTTACACACTAAATCTAGTTTGCTGGACAAATGGACCAAAACTAAGCCATAAAAATGAACTTCAAAAATCCGTTTTTGGGGAAAATTGGCATTGCTGTTTTTAATGGTTAATATATATGGAAAAACCATTCCAAAAAAAGAAATAAACGTATAACATGCTATATTCTTATAAGTATTTATCGTTATCAAGTCCATTTAGTTATATTTGTTTGAGCACCTATTCTAAATAGTACTAAAACTCCTGAAACCTAATTATTGTTCATAAAACTAAAATTAAAATTATTTAACTATTTAATATTATTACTTAGATAGAAATAGACGATCTTTAGCATAAGCTGTAAACAAAAGTGTATCAGTATTCAGTATATATTTTATAACATTATTATACAATATCCAATTTATTCCGGTTTAAATTACTAGACTTAGGACTACCTAGTGTCCATTCCTCCAATAATTTATCTTCGATAAGTTTCTCAACTTTTTCCAAGTAATCAGAATTACTATAAATCATTAATTTATTCATTATTAATAATATATGGCAAAAAAATACTAAAATAAAAAAAACAATTGTTAATAGCATTTATATTTTTAAAAGTAAATATTGTTAACAAGTCCATTTAGTGATATTTGATTGGCCATTTATGTTATAATATAATATTTATACAATACTAGTATTCTAACACTTTTTTATTATTCATAAAACTAAAACTATAATTCATATATGAATAATTTATATTCATATTATTGCATTAATTCATATTATATTACTTACCCTACACTCAGATGTTCAACGATATCTGTTTAAAAAAAATGTATCAGTATATTTTTAGCATTATTATAGAATACTCTTATCTAATTTATTCTGTTTTATAAATATATCAAAAAGAATAAAGTATATATTATATGATATATCATAGATTTTATTTTAAAGAAAAATATAAATTACCACCCTGTAACGGCATTAGACTTTCAGTAACCATGCAATATTGTTTTGATTTTGCTGAAATTAAAAAAAAAACACCAGTTTGAGAAATTTTTCACCGAATATTAGTAAATAGGTGTACAATCGCATCTTTAAAATAATTAGACTAAGAGAAACCGAAAAACGGAACAAATTAAACATTTTGGAACTAAGACACTCCAATTGATATTATCATTTTTCAACGAATGTCGTAAAGAAGCGAAAATACCAAGACAATGGATGAAAGACAAAAGTAATAGCTCTACACAAACCAGGGAATCTATTTTAATTAAATTATATAAAAGAATGATTCTGAATAGAATACCCCTAATAATAGAAAGTGTGCCCATCAAAAACCAAGCAGGCTTTCGACCAGGTAAGTCTTGCACTAGCCAAATCTTGAATCTCACCCACTATATCAAAGATGGCTAGGAGACCGAAAAGATCACCGGATCAGCAGTATTTGTGGACTTATGGGCAGCGTATGACACAGTCAACCATAGACACAGAAATAATATCATAAACCTTACGTAACAGAAGCCTCTATGTCACAATGCTAGGCCAAAATAGCAGATGGATACACCAATGACCATCCATTATCAGAACACACAAAACACTCTCTGTATGCCGATGACTTGGCAATTATATCACAAGAACATACATTCGAAGAAGTTGAACACAAACTGACCCAAGCTTTTGAAACAGTACATGATTACTACAAGACGATTGCATTAAAACCCAATCCAGCAAAAACACAAGTCTGTGTCTTTCATCTAAACAATAAACAAGCTAATAGGGAACTATCACTAAAATGGAGAGGTATAACACTAAGACACACATCGACACCGGTATACTTTTGAGTGACGCTGGATAGAACTCTGACTTTCAGGGCAGACTGCCATAAAACGAAATTAAAAATTAGCAGCCATATCTTGGCCACGTTTATGTGGCCAAGATGTGGAAAGGGAAAATTTAACTTTAACCTCTGGACACGATAAGAAGAAGGTGTACAATATTGTACTATAATAAATTAGGGTTAAACAAAAAATATAGTTAATATAAATAATAAAACCAACAGATTGGGGTAAGAATAATTTTCTTATAATATTTAGCTTTAATGCGTAGCTGAAAAAGTATTAATTTTAAAATGATATGTTTTTTTTTGTGTTTGGACTAACGATATCTTCTAAATCGATTTTTTCATAAAGCAACCGTGTAGATCATAATATCTTTCCCCTAGAAAGGTTGAAAACAGTTTCATTATTTCTGTTTTTCTAGCTCTAATTTTTAGAGCTTAATGTCTGAAAATGAGACTGAAGGTAGATCTAGAGTGGCCCTATATCTTACACGAATTTTTTTTTCCAAACTTTGGTTTCATAAAGGAACCCTCTCCCTCCCCCAGTCTAGGTTGCTATGTGTGAATGATTCAACAGTCAACAGGTGTTTTAAAATAACTTTTACTATATCAATTTACTAATTAACTTTTACTAAGCAAAGTCATCAAACTATTGTAGACAGACGATCAACTCTAATATACGATTAATATTTATTACAATTTAAGCGCACTATTAATATTGTATTTATATTTGTGAAAACAAATTTTGTGTTGTAACGGTCCAATTGTTGTAACCCTCACATTATTTTTTCTGATCAAAACTTGACATTTAATTTTTTTTTTTATGTAACCCATACTGACAAAATCAGGTTTACTAAATGCCAAATGATGTAAGTCACTACATAATATCAATAATTTTAAGGCAAACTCATTTCATACGTGGTCAGTTAGTGAGAGCCTCAGCATAACCCTACAGTAATATTAGTGAATACATAATTAAATATAGGTACGATTAATATACAATTTCAGCGCACTATTAATATTATATTGATTTTTTTGTATTTAGAAGCGTTTATTCAAAATGCTATTTGTGCAATTTATAATTGTAAAAACCAATTTTGCGATGTAACAATCCGCCGGTATTTGAATTTAATTAATAATACTTACGATCGCCTTTTTGTGTAATTACACCAATTACGTCGCCTGTTTCTAGAATATTCGACACAAATGGCACAAACGGACATACCACTAAAAAGTTAAACGATATAATATTGTATTAAAACGAATTGTGTAATGGCTATAAAATAAGTGTTCTACTCTAAATAAGTAATAAGTTATTAAATAGTTGACCAACAATAAAAACGAGGATTTTAACGTTTTTTTTTTTTTTGGCGTTTAGTTTTGTTTAAAATTGAATCTTTTATAAATTTCACAATTTCAAAAACAATGATGCTGTTATTAGAAAAAATATTGCTGATTACCAATGATATAATTTTTTTTTTAATAGAACATGTATATAAACAAAACAAAAGATTTTTTTTTGTTACATCCAAAACGAACAAGTTTAAATGACACTATAATGGTATTAAGAATGTAGTAATTAATATAATATACTTACCATCACGTACATACAACGAAATCAGGATAGAAAAGATTATAAAGGAAATGATCGTTTTCATCTTGAAATCTGTGTGTTATAATACAAGAATAACATAAGGTTTAATAAATCTTCACAGAACGAATAAGTATATGCAATGTGGATTAGTGTAAAAAAATTGTGTTATTATGTGTTTTTTTTTTCATTTAATACAGTCGACTAACACATTTTTTGCGTATTTACTATTGTAAAAACACACACGGTTGTGTTATAAGGTACATAAGATACATACTTCTGTTATGCTTTTTTAATATCTATAATAAAATATAACAAGAATTGGGTCATTGGGCGTTGATCCTTTTTTTTGCACGAGCACAATACATACTCGATATATTTATCTACAATTTGTTGATATACTTTTTGCAAATTCTCATAAATAATTAGTGTAACTTGATCCCTACCCTTCTCTATTTGGAAGGTGAATAGGTTTATGTTATAATATGCCAAATACCTACACCCTGACGCACCCACTACGTCCAGAACCTGCTTTGTGGATAACAATTGTCATTTGTCATTGAAATTATTATAATGTGTTTAAAATGGTATTAGACTGGACACGGTCTGACTATAATATTTTGTTCATGTTGTGGTCAATGTACCAATGTCGATTTTGAAAGGGAATGTTTACATTTTTATAATTTTTGTCTAATAAAATGCCTTATGGTTATAATTTCTAATATTCAAACTTGTATCTTGAAAACATTTATTCAGTTGTGAGTTGGTTACATTGTGGGTTAGACACATGAAAAAATGATGTAACTGTCGAGAGTACAAAGTACAAGTCAAGTTAAATTTCCAAGACTAATCTGTACACCTAGATTCGTCACGATGATTCCTTAACAGTTCATAGACATTTTCAAAATAGATAGTAATGTGGTTTCTTTAATGTCACTTGGGCGATACTATAAATTGTGCTACACTTTAGATTTGAATAACACCTAATTGTTTCTGTATAGTTGCCTAGTTCTTGTGAAAAAACAATAACAACCTCACATGTAGGATAGGAGGTCTTAAATATCATATTCTTACGCCCTAAGGTGCGCCATTAACAATTTACTTTACACATGTAATGTCATGCTAACCATTGCCTGAGTTGAGTCCTGTGATTTGACCAGAAGTTTTAAACATAGGTACAGAAAATAAAAAAATGGTTACATCGATTAAATAATATTATAATTATTTATTTTACTCTCAGAAAAAAATATGTAGTATACGTTAATCATGTTTTGGTAATATTTTTAAAGAAAATAAATGTGTCAAACTACCCAGAATGTTTTTTTCGTACGTCATCTTGCTTTTTCATTGATACAATTTTTTTAATTTTTGAAGTCAGTTTAGCCTCATGAGCCCTATAAACCAATAAATAATTTATTACTAAAAACAAAAAACCTGCTCCTTGTCGTACAAATTGGCAATCATAAAAAATTGTATTGTGTTAAAAAAATATGTGCATAATATTTTTAGTTTTACACATTAAATCTAAATGCTAGACTATTGGATTAAAACTAAGCCTTAAAAAATTAATTTCAAATATAATTTTTTTTTTAAGAAAATTAGCAGTACTGTAAAAATGAATTAATAATTATATATGGCAAAACAATTACAATTCCAAAAAATAATAATAATAATAATAAACGTATAACATGCTGTATTTTTAAAAGTATGTATTGTTATCAAGTCTATTTAGTTATATTTGATTGAGCGCCTATGCTAAATAGCTCTAAAATTCCTAAAACCTAATTATTGTTCATAAAACCAAATATAAAACTATTTAATTATTTAATAGTATTACTTACGCGAGACGTTCTTTAGCATAAGCTGTAAACAAAAATTGATCAGTACATATTTTATAACATTATTATACAATATCTGATTTATTCCGGTTGAATTTAATGTAATAAAGGACCTACCTAGTGCCGATTTCTCCAAATATGTATGTTTAATAAGTTCCTTAACGTTTTCCAAGTAATCAGAATCACTGTAAATAATTAATTAATGTATTATTATTAATATATGGCAAAATAATACAAAAAAACAATCCTGAATAGCATTTTATATTTTTAAAAGTAAACATTGTTATCAATTCCATTTAATGATATTTGATTGGCAATTTATGTTAAGGGGCCTCTACACCAGCATTTATTAAGGAGTATTGTATAGGCAATTTCAAAAAACATTTTGTCACTGTGTTAGTAACTGTTTACTCGTAAATGAACATTAGTGTTAGTGAGCAATTTTATGTATATAATATATATACATCATAATTCTCCGTATACGGAGTCGCGACCGCGAAAGTGCGATAACAAGATAATAACTTACTATTATTGATTCTTACTATCTAAAATTTTATCGCCTAACGCGCGGACAGGTAAATGATATTACTTAATTGTGTCTGGGGTCACATTTATATTATTTCTGTAGGAGTACATACACTGACAAACAGAAGCGCGAAGATAATGATTATTACTAGACATTAAAAATTACGAGTTTACTTACTTACTTTTGACAAATATAATAACAACAGACTAGCAGTTATTTAATCCGTTTTATAAACATATCAAAAAGAATAAAGAATATATTATAAGATATACAATTAAGACAAATATAAATTACCACTGGGCCGCTGTGATACTATGCATCTGTACAGTAAGCCGGTGTCAAATGGCGATTTATATTATATTGTTGAAAAATATTGTTTATATGGTCCTAAGTACTATTTTAATACTAAATAGTAGATTCAATCTATACCAACAAGTTTTGTTCATGTACTCGTTATTATATTAATAGTCAGCCAAGTGCCAACGAATTCACTGACTTGCAGATTTAAATATTCAATAATTTTTAAATGAAATTTAATAAAACTCATAAAATATAATAATAAAAATAAAAATGAATGTATATTATATTATGTAATTCATTGAAAAAACAACCTAATATATTATCTAATATAGTGTAAAATAAGTAGACAAAGTCCGCCTCTGTAGTGTAATACTACAAAAGTATATTATTTTATTGTCTAAGTAGTGTATCATAAGGCTTACGTTCAGTAACCATAATAAATTGTACTTTTGATGCTGAAATAAAAAAATGTTGAGAAATGTTTTATTTAATATAATAGTAAAAAGGTGTACAATATTATATTGTAATAAATTATGGTTAAATAAAAAATAATTAGTTAATATAAATAAATAAAACTAACAGACTGGGGTAAGACTAATGATATCTTCCAAACAGCTGAACCGATTTTTTCATATAGCAGCCCTATAAATCATTATCCCTTTCCCCTCGAAGGGTTGAAAACGGCTTCATTATTTCTTTTTTTTCTAGCTTTAATTTTTAGAACTTAATTAATGTATGAAAATTAGACTGAAGGTAGATTCAGAGTGAGACTATACCTCACATAAATTTCTTACAAATCTTTTATAAAACTTTGGTTTTATTAATGCCCCCCCCCCTACTAGTCTAGGTTGCTATGTGTGAATGATTCAACAGTCAACCGGTATTTTAAAATAATTTTACTATGGTTACCATAGAAAAATAATTTTAATTATTATTACCTACGATATACATAAATGGAAAACAAAGACATCGAACTATTATAGACAAACGATACCAAACCGAAAATATTGATTTTTGTATTTCTATTCACAGACACACTTGGAAGAGTTTATTCGAAATTGGTTTGTGCCATATTTATAAATATATTAAAAACCAATTTTGTGTTGTATCGGTCCGCCGGTTTTTGAATTGAATTAATAATACTTACGATCGCCTTGATCTACACGAATTATGTCTCCACTTGTCAGTGTATCAATTTTTTGTTCAAATGTCACATACGGACATACCACTAAAAAGTTAAACGATATAATATTGTATTTAAACGAAATGTGTAATGACTATAAAATAAATATACCACTTCAAATGTTAACCAATTTAACGCGTTGGCTACCGAGCCTGTTTTTATTAAACTTGCTGCAGTAAAGACATACTTCAGGCGCACAACTAGCGCCATCTAGCGGACAACTAACAAACTCATGTCGGGAGACGTCTCCCATAAGAAACCATAGAAAAATGTCAAATTCACATATTTGTACACGTGCACACGAGACACGACATTAAAATGCCTATTGTGTCCACCAGAGCGCGCTGTTTTCAATCAAGTGCCGAGTGTCTATAATCTATACCGTATACCAGGTATAATAATCATGGTATCCAACGTGTTAAAATTTCCTGAACATTTCTACTTATGCTTAATACTCATTAAAATTTTAACCCAAACCGTCAGCAATATAAAAATTCTAAAAAAAAGAACACGCAAATTACTTTTTTGATTAAGTAAACAGTTGTTGAATATCGGAGCAACAATAAAAAACGAGGAAAAAAAAATTGTAGTTTTTACCAATGATTGACCAAACTCGATAGAATATTTTATTGATTAGAACATTTTTACACACAATACATATTTTCAAGTCCTAAATAATTGAAGAAATTTTTTTTTTTGGTATTTGCAAGTTGTAAACATGTTATTTTAGTTGGATCCAAAACGAACAAGTTTAAATGACCCTATAATAATATTAAGATTAGAATAATTAATATAATACTTACCATCATGCCCATACAATAACATCAGGATAGAAAAGGTTATAAAGAAAATGCTGGTTTTCATCATGAAATCTGTGTATTTTACACGTACACCAAAAAGTTCAAGAAATTTAAAGTAACTTCAATGTGGATAAGTGTAAAACTATTGTGTTATGATGTTGGTGTATGGTATTTTTTCATTTCATACAGTCGAGTAATACATTTTTTGCGTATTTACAATTGTAAAAACACATACGATTGTGTTAATGTATAAAGTTGTATGTTATAATGTATGTTGTCTATAGTAAAAAAGTACAAGAATGGGGCCATTGGGTGTTGGCACTTTTATTTATACAAGCACAGGGCTGTGTAACTTATCCTACCCTTCCTTATTTGTTAGGTGGATAGGTACCATAGGTAGGGTGGTCGATAGTCGAATTAGATATCATTTTTTGTAAGCACACAACGATTGAGAAACTATTTTGTGGATAACAATTAACATTATATACAATATACATCAATAAACTGTTTATTGTCACAAAACATTTCAATAATAGCTGATACAGAAAACCGTATTAACACGATGCCAACTTACATATAACTTATTAATAAGTTATATTGTATACATTAATTTGTATTGAGGAAAAATTGATTACACTTTGACCATAGTCAATTTTTAGGTTTTGCCAGGATGTGAGTAAATCATCAGTCATCAGTTATTTGAAAATATTTTTATTATATTGTTAAGGGCATTGCATGTGGTCTGTTTTTTCGAAGTTTTAGACAAACACATTTTATGTAATCGAAATTTTGTCTGCATTTTTGATCTGATATAAACCAAAACGGCTTTTAGTTATAGGAAAAAATATTCAAATAAAAAATAATACCTTGGAGCTTACACAAATTAACCGGTAAATGATTTGGCATGTTCGAAATTTATTAAATCCCGTTTTTGCATAAATATTGCCTGTTTAAAACCCCTTAAAAATATACCGCATGCTATTCCTTAACACATTTTTTTATTATGTTCATAATTTCTTATCTCTTGATAAATCAATTTGATTCGTTTTTGTCCTTTAAATTCTCGCAGTTAAGGAAATAGTATTTGTTATACATGTTCCGTACAATCAAATTAAATGCAATATTAAGTGATAATTCAAAATATCCACATTTGGACAATTTAATAGATTAACGTTGTAGCTTAATATTACAAAATAGTTATTGGCTATAAATTATTATTGGAACAACATGGGACTACAGTCATGAAGGAAAATAGTTCAAACATAAAACATTTGAATAAGGACGAACAAAACAAAATACGCTAAAAACTACTCGTTTTCTATTTGCCAACATTAACCAGTTGTATTGTATACATTAAATTGTGTTGAATTTGAATTTACATGAATTTGTGTTTGCATGTGGTCTGTTTTAATCATAGACAACATTTTTCAAACAAAAAATTAATACCTAGAAGCTTACACAAATTAACCGGTAAATGAATTGGCATGTCCGAAATTTATTAAAACCCGATTTGGCTTAAATATTGCCTATACAAAACCCCTTAAAAGTAGACCGCATGCAATCCCATTAACAAATTTTTTATTATTGTTTTTATAATTTTTTATCTTTTATTAAATTAATTTGATTCGTTTTTGTCCTTTACAAGGAGTCAAAAAGAAGTTGACAATGTCGCAGTAAAGGAAATAGCATTTGTCATACATTTTCCATACAATCAAATTAAATACAATAATAATAATAAATATAAATATAATTAATATGAAATTTATTATTAATATAAATATTTACATATTAGGACAATTTAATAGATTAACTTGGTGTCTTAATGTTACAAAATAGTTCAACTTGCGTTTTAAATTTTAGTTTAAATATGTGTGTCGTACAAAAGCTAACGATTCCTACACAAAATACACTAGGTATTTTTCACAGCGACTGTTGCAATGTAAACAAATGACAAATACTGTAACATTTTAAGAACATCTATATTTTACAATAACAACTTTTATTGAATTTTTTGTGTAAAACACAAGTTATAAAACACGTATAATAAGTGATATAAGATAATAAGGGAATCTAAATTTATGAACACAATGTATATTAATTACATAATATAAGATATCCAATAATGTACAAAATATAAATTAACATTATTTTTAGGATATGTTTTTTCTTTCATTCGGATTAAACATCGTATATTTGAAAATCCAGATGTTAGCCGTATATAAAGAATTTTTAAACATCATTTGGGAAATGTTAAATAATAATTATTTGGTCCCTGGTAGAAAGACCTTACGTCAATTTTACCAATTATTTTGCCAATTGAACCAAAAAATCAAGCTTTAAATCTACGGGGGAAAAAAAATGTTGTGAAAACTTGACTTTCTAAAAGTCCTTTCTACCTGGGACCAAAGAATTGTTGTTAGTCATATATTTGTTTTTGAAACAAGTTTCTCTTTTCCCACTTGACACGTTAATTTTCTATTTGCGGATTAGTGACCCTTAGACAGATGCTAATAAGCTATATATTGCTCCATGTCACTCCAAATCTCAAATCATACAAAAACGATTTAATACCATAATATCTGGCTTTAGAAGAGCTATTAATAAAATGCACGTTATTATTTACAAGTTTCAAAAGTTAATAGAGCTGAGAAAAATCAACAGGATATACTGCTATGTTAATTACTGTTACACTGATTTTTCCTTGATGATGCCTTATAGCGGTGGAAACTGTTTTAATCGTTAACGTTTTGATGGAATATTGACAAAACATGTTGTAGGTAATAAAACAACAGCCTGTAGGTAGTATACGTTTTATTTAATTTAACTTCATAACAACAGCAGTATTTTTATAATAATGCTTTTAAAAAAAAAATGTTTTAATAATAATGTTAAATATGTTTGATAAATAAGTAACATAAGTTTTACATGGTGTAACAAGTGAACAAGCAATTCGAATAGGTTTTACATTGGTTGTTAATAGTATTGAGTTATCGATACGATTATTACAATATCACAATATTACAATTATTACAATTATTACAATATTACATTATTACATGCTACACACAACGTTTGCCATTTAGTTGTGGTCGTCTAAGTACGTGACGATCGATCGGATTACGTCGAAATCGACTTTTTGGAAGGTCGACTTGATATAATCGATGAAAGCACGTGCGGTTCCCAAGCTATAGGTGTCGACGATTGACTTACCGTACTGCACCAGTTTCGGAACGCTCTGTTTCGTAGCCTGGCCTTGGAGATGATCGTTAATCGTGGTCAGCTTACCTTGGAGCTGGACAATAACGACGTAAACGCCTACCTCGCCGCTGACGAGGCGTTGGAAGTTATCCAGCAAACCCACGACGTCTGGATCGCGTTGGAGGCCCAACAGTCGCTGGAAATCCATCAGAAGGAGTTGCCATTCACCAAAGTATTCTGCTCGACGTTCAACCGCATACTCGATGACGTACAACAAATGCTTCAACGTCAGCCAGTACATGACACTTTTGAACAGACTAAATACCCGGCTGTAATATCTCTTGATACTAAACAAGGGACGTGAACTAGCAGCGGGGGAGTACATTCGGCTGGCGCACCGGCAGTCTTCTTTCAGCAATTGAGCCGTGCGGTCCAAGTTGACTGGCAAGTCGTAACCGGCCATCAGATTGGTCTTGAGCGAGTTTTTGGTGCCCAGGTTGTCGAGCAACAGCTGTCTGGACTCCAACGCTTCGTACCACGTCCCGTACGTGGTTATCAATAATTTGTTTGCGTCCAACAGTCCGTCCAGCCCGTCGCAGTTGTTGGCCGCCATCGTTTGAATACCGTTGGAATCGGCGGGTTCGCCGTACAGGGTGCATATCGCCGTTCGGACGTTGAAGCGGCCCGCCAAATCGACCGCGACACTGGGCGATATGCTTTCGTCATCCATCGCGAGTTTCACCAACCGCATATGCGTCATTCCGGCAAACAAAAACGCGCATTTCAAATGTCCGTACAGGTTTGCTGCGGTCGTCGGTTTTTCATTCGTGCCATAATCGTAACCCGTGTCCTGCGACAGTACCGGCGGGCTCGACGAGGCCATCAAGCTTAAAAAGGCCACTAGGCTCACGGCGATCGTCGTTGGCGATAATTTCGAAAGCGTCATTTCGTCGACAATCCGCAACAGCTAGTCTGAATACTGAACAATTGTAACTAAACTGCGGAGATATTTTTTACAGGCTCAAACTTCGGCCGCCAAACATTATTTACAAAACCCATATTTTTTCTGTAACGCCATGTTGTTTTACCACGCTTAGGAGTAATCTTACAACTTGTTTTTTATTAATTATATTTTTATGTTATTCAACTTACAAAAACACGGTAGTATCACACATACTATACACACACAGCACACTTAAATATTCTAAAATGTTATTACTGAACTGGCACTACGATTTAGTAGTATTCATAGTTCATATGTTCCAAACTTTTGGTAGGATATAATACAATGCGCGAAGGTACGAGAACATTCCATTTACTTGACAGGGCCATAGTATAGATAATTCTAGATACACCGACGACAGTTTAATTGCCTATGCTACCGCGCCGTTCATCAATTCACTCATTCATACTATCGTGTATTCACGTGGTATATTATCTCACTCGTAATGTACATAATTTTGTAGTTTCTTTGTAATACATTAAGTGTTAATATATTCCATTTTCATTTCTAATTTAATCAAGTGTTTTAATAACGACCAACCAACACTAATAATGGTAACTATAACCATGGTCACCATAACCATTGTAACAATAACCACGGTAATCATACAAATATAGTTTTATATTATGTTGCAGGAAGATTTCGAACACGTGTTGTGTACTTGCTACTTCTGAAACTCGACTTGTAATGATAGGATTGAGTTTGATGCTTTTTAAAGCATTACAAGTCCCATTTAGTGAACGAGAAGAAAATAAACCCTGTACGGTAAAAAGTAACTAGCTCAGAGATAGTTAGCCAATTTAATCAGTAAAACACTTGCACAGTTTAAACGAAAACAGTAAAGATCAACACAGTCTAAACCTAGTAGAGCATAAACAGACGCCGTAGCTTGTTAGTATAGTATGACATGATATGCTTAATCATTTTTACCATCTAAAGAACCAGAGTGTATTTAGGTAAGTATTCAATGTGATTCGGTCTACCTGAAGCCTCAAGTTCTGCTGATCCCGAAGACACAAGTTCGACTAATCTTGTAGAAAAAACTGACGCTGAGGTAATTCACATTATTACTTTTGTCAATATTTTGAAAAATTAATTAAACATAAAGGTTTAAAGTTTTCCTGAATAGCCATTCTAGGAGGGAATTATTCTCACTACATGAAACTTAACATTATTCTTATCTGGGAAAGTATTATTATTTTAGCTTAAAGACTTAAGACAGACAAATAAAATACTTGTCATAAATATTTATAATAAAAAAAAAAAGGTTTTTTGATATTGTTTGTTAAAAAATTGTTCTGATATTGTTGTGTATATAAGATTAGATTAGATAAATATTGAATTTAACTTTGTATTGATAAAAAATGTTTAGATTATAGAAGATTCCTTCAATGATTGTGTGAAATATATCACCGAGATCCTGGGATGGAATTCTGATCCTGGTATTGGAATGGGTCATTGTTGTGTGTATACGGGCAAATGCATAAAAAGTTTATCAAATAACGCTTGGTTACTTCGACGAGTATCCAGAAAAAAAACATGGTAAACATTAACTACCTACATATTATTCATTTACATTTGATACAAAACTGTAAAGCAGTAAGGATAAAAGAAATTGTTTCACCTTGGGCGACAATTGCACCACGCGTCATGCCCCTGTAATTACAAAAAAATTATTTATGTTTAAATTCAAAATGTTTGTCTTATTTTAGAATCATTAAACAATTTAGAACTATTTACTGAAGTTTTCAAGTATCATTGCGAAAAACAAAATCGATCCGTAATACAATGCGCTCTTGTTTGGAATGAAGAATTGGTAATATTAAAGCATATAATATAATTCCCGTTTGTTTTTCAACAGCTAAAATATATTTGTGCTATATATTATAGCTGTCAATAAAAAAACCATTTAAGCTTGTAATAATATGTGACGCGTACTAGCCATAACAACTACTTCAGTTAAAATATTTTCTTAATTAGTTTTCGAAAAAAACAACAACCATTTTTTGGGATTAACTTTTTTTTAAGAATCCAAATCATAAATATTTTGATTTATTTTTAGAAAAAAAAAAATAGGTACAACAATTACATTACCCCGAAAAAACCAAATTTTTATTTCTAATAAATTTTCTAAAAAAATATATATTGACATGGATGTGTTATTAAGTATATAGATTATAGGTATAAAAGATAAAAGGATATAAGAATTATGGAGGCAGTATGGAGGAGGATTATGGAGAGATTATGGAGGGAGTATGGAGAGATTATGGAGGAGTAGTATGGATGTCACTTAATAGAAATATTGAAATTGAGATAATAGATTAGAGCTAAGATGTACCTGCATGAAGTGTGCATACACTTAACTTTTTCTTTTTTTTACTTGTTAATTAGCACCCAAGTTTTACGTATACTTAAGTCTGTGCTTAAGTTGTTTAAAGTTTACAATCGGACTTTTCGAGGAAATAGGAAATTAACCGATAAACAACTTGCAGATCACAGCTGACTCGTTCAATGATTGCAAAAAATGGGCCAGCCTCCGCTATAATTGATCGGTTGATAAAAATATCACATACCATTGGTTTGATGTCGCAAGTGATTACTTAAAGAACCACTTTAATGACCTTCAATCGCAAAGAGAAGGTATAATATTTTTGGTTTTGAAAAAACTGTTTTCATTCGCAATTGTGAAAATTTAAATATGTACATTTTGTTAATTTTTTAACAATACAACTTATGGCCAGAAGTGACAACTGCACCACATAATGCCCCTGTAAATAACATAGGTAATACAATATTATTATTATTTAAATTCGACATTTTTTGTTTTGTTTTAGCCTTCATAGATTTCAAAATATTTAGTGACCTTTTTAGATAATACCATTGTAACAAACTAAAGTTAACCCTAAACAAATGCGCTGCACAAAGGAAAGAGGCAACGATGGTCAAGATACAAAATTGGTCAGAAGACAAAAGTAAAAATGCGGAACGTTGGAAAGAGCTAACTCAGCAGATTGATGAAATGGACCTGAATGAATAGTCAAATAATATTATGTTAATAATGTCAAATTAAATTACACTATTTTTAATATAATAAGATGTCTAATAGTCACATTTTTTTTTTAATTTAATTGTTTTAAATAACATTTACAATATATTCATAAAGAAAAATATACAATTAGCAAATATGTTAACAATGTAAATAAATGACTTGGAGGCTTTAAGTGGGGAAGCTATCCAGTGATAAGACTCTTAGTAAAATCTCTTAAAATGTTATAAAAAAAAATGTTTCAAAATATAATACATTTATTTAGACTTTAATAACTCCAAAATCGCTGATTCTTAGAGCATGCGGTGGAAAATCCCTCATTGATGGGCCCATTTTAGGTGCCGACCTAATTTGTCAATACTGTAGGAAATAAGATTTGGTACAAAAACAATGCAATTGTAGTTTTAGCTTAGACGGTAAAAAAAACACCAATACAAGCACTATTTAGTCGTGGCCGAGAGGATTCATTAACCAGGCAAACAACTAGCGGTTGTTTTTTTACATTTATTGTTTAAACTAATTTTGCAAAGCTAATTGCAATTTCGTCGAATGTTACAAATTAGAATTTGTTTAATACGCGTTAATATTTGTAAGTATGTCCCGTAAGTATTTGAACATGCTACTAATTTCTTAGTATTTAAACTAAACTTTAGGTGAAGATGGGGAAGATATATTTTTTGTTTTAAATTGCAAATGTCTGCCGTTATCCATATAGAGCTGGGTAATACCAGTCATCGAAAAATATTTGGAAAATTTTAGGAATCAATGCAAGTTAAAAAATAGTTTTACAAATTATGGCTAAAATAGAATAATGGTATCGGTACAAAGATATTGTAAGTTTATTTGGTAGGTGTTGCTATTGCATATGTTAGGTTAAAAATAGATGTTAAAAACTAGTTATCGACCAGTAAAAATGTTTAGTAAAATATTCGCAATTTAAAAAGTTAATAAAATACATACGTTCCCATTTAAGTTTCAAAAGTCGATACAAAAATTTGGGAGGGGAGAAAAAATGTAAAAAATTGAGATCACATTGTATAAAAAGAAACTATGAAAAAAAAATTAAATTTCTTATTAAACCCTAAAAGATATTGAGTGGTTCACTAAAAAACGATCAACCCGTATAACTGCAATCCTTGTCAGTTTTAGACACAAACATAACAGTCAAAAGACAATAAAAATTTAAAATTCTTACCTGGAGATTATTTTATTGAATTCGGAAAAATATTACATTCGAAAGTGATAACAAAATTGATAATAATTTTTGGGGCGGGGGAAAGTTGTTTAGCATTTTTAAACACCAGATACCTATTAGGTTTTAATAGCAATAGTTATCACTGTTGCTGATAACTATTAAAATATGAATGTTAATGACCATAAATGTATTAAAATATGCAATTATATGCCTTTATTGAAATCAACTAAAAAAAAGTTATCCTAGTTTTTAAAAAGTTGACTTGACATAATATAAATCGGAGCTTTAAATAACATTATGTGGATACATCTAAATTTTAGCTATCATATTTAAGAGATATATGGCCGATATTAACTATTATCCACTTGGCACTGACCTTTATTCCCCCATGTTCCTCTAATGTTAAATATGCCAAGAAATTGTAAACATGCCAAGAAATAAGTAGCATGCTTAAAACGGTTCAATACTTTCTCAGTTACCAAACCACGCATATTGATTCATATTTTCTTAAGATTGTAATTTTTTTGAATAGGTCGAACGGTGGTGTTACACTTTATCAGTGTACATAAGGCACGTGCAGTGTAGTGTACTACCTATATGCCAATACTCTTGAGGTATATGTTTACATAATACATTGTTTTATAACACTAATTACACTGGTAATTATCAACGGCGTAAATTCACTGGTTTATGCGTGAAACCTACATTATTTCACTGTACCTCTACACGGCTATTATGTCATACATTTGAAATAATATAATAATTACATAACGCGAGAACTAAGAACATTACCCACATAATATGAATTCTTGGCAACATACAGGCACCGAAGGTTTATGGAAAAAAATAATTTTATTTTCGTTCTGCATTGGCAAGAGTAATTAAACGCAAAAGCTAAATTAATAAATAATTGTATGTATGTACTTAATAAATAGTTTAATATGAAATTAATTTAAATTATTACTATTATACACGAGACAAGATAAACAGATAACGGAAGATGGCGGTCGTTCAGTTTTTCAAACGTCCCGCCCTGGCGTCTGTGATTACACCCCAAAGTTCAATGATGAAGTCATCGGTGAATCCTAACTCATCCAAGTCAGAGTTATCTATGGCTTCGGCGAAATCCATACTGTTCACCTTGTCTTCGCCCGTCTCCCATATTTGCGTGGCTGGAAAAAAAAAATATTATTTGCAACTTAAAAATAAATAAATAATCACAGATATATAATATAATAAACCAGATTGCTAAGTAAAGGTACATGCTCCGCCAATAGAGATAATTGAAGTTATCATTTTCCGCCATCTTTGTGGAAATTCGAACCTTATCACATGTTTATAACTGTTATCACTGATTATAACAATTAAAAGTTAAGTTGATAGCACAGTATCACAGATATATATATATATATATATATATATATATGTATATTATTTTGTACCTACACACATTAAAATGACCGGCGTCGACATTTCTTTCACTAGTTAGCGATCTAGTTTATTATATTCTATTTGTGTCAATGATAGACACGAAGTAGATTAAATCAGGACATTAATGAGGCGTCTAGTTTCGAGTTTCAACGCCAGCTAAAAGCCATTTTTGAACATTTTTACAACATAATTTCTTCAGGTGGGCGATTTTAAAACCAATTAAAATTTGTTCCCAACACAGTTTGAGTTAATTATAATCTTAATTTTTTTTGTATTCAATAATAATTTTAAATACCCTGTAAATACAATGTGGTCACTAAAAACAAAAAAAGAGGATTTAAAATGTCTTTTAGCTGGTTTTGAAATTATAGACGCCTCATTTAATGTATACAATGACTTTCGGATGGAGGCCGATAGAGGTCGTTTATCCTAATTTCTGAAAATTAAATTACACAACTAATGTATAAAAATAACATTATTTTGATTGATAAACGACAAGATGACCGCCACGTTTTTTTAGTGACTAACTCAGATGTAATAGGTAGTAATTTATTTATTTATTGCCTTTTATTAAAAAAAAAATATATTAAGGCTGAATATATTTTATTTTTACATTTAACCTACCTTTCACATCATTATTGCATAATCATTGAACACTATTAATTTTGTAATGTATAGTATCCTTCCTATATTTCATTTATTTCTTATCAGTAATATGCCCTTATTGAAACCGTCAAACACACACCTTTTAAGGTATAAGACTCATATTGCAATTTAATACATTTTTATCGCTAATAACAATTAACGGCTAATGAAGTTCAAAAAATAAATAACTTATGTGCTTACCAAGTTCGACGTCACTTATTCCAAGCAAATTTTCCAACAACTGATTGATCTTATCGATCCCCTTGCGCGATTCGTCGTTCTAAACAAACAAGTGTTATATTTATATGAACGCGGAATTTTTATATACAAATAGATACTTTTTAGAATTTTGTATACCTCTTTTTGTATATGCGCAGCGCCGTCCGCTTTAAATCGCAACGTTTCTTTACCATTGCCATACGAATTTTTGCCTCTGCGAGAACCTCTGGGTTCGATATTTGCTAAAAAAAAAATGTATAATTAAAACATAATATATTATTATACATTTGTTTTTTTCTTTTTATAGTTTTCTCGTGTTGTTACTTACAAAATCCAGCTTTGAGCGGTTCAATCAAACGCAACGTGAACACCGTCCCTTTGGGAATGTCTTTTAGTAATTTGGCGACTTCATAATGCCTTCTACCGACCATCAGTTCATTGTCAATTTTTTCAATATGGTCTCCTACCTTTAAAATATCAATTACACAGTTACTACTTATTTTGAGGTAATCGAATTACTGTGGCTAAATTCGCTAGACATATTTTAGAAAGAAATAATATGAGCTACTTAAAAACGAAATATTCTATACTCTAGAGGAAATGATCTTAATGCTAAATATAGATCTTATCATCTTTAACGTTGCTTAATTGTATTATACGTTAGAACCGCGGTTATTGACGGTCATCGTAGTTACCTATATAACTGCGGTTAGAACTTAGAACCACAAAATGACCAGAAGGGACACTTAGGTCGGGACTGATAAATGTCCAACATTTTGTTTCTGCGGCTAACGTACAATTTATTATCATGTTTTTTCCTGGAATTATCTATAGTCCATCTATGATAATCTGGCTCCCCATGTACATTTTTTTAATGTTTCCCTTCTGGTCATTCTTTGTTAGAACTATTTAGTTTTTTAAATACCAGCGACATGTTTTCCGGGTATTAATCAGAAATACGTTACTAGCGATTATAAATTATAATATGTTTTGTAATAGTGTGAAAATTTAAATATTAAAATGGATTTCTCTTTATCGCATTAACATTATACGAGCAACACAATCGTATATAGGAATGCATTATGCTGACAGAACAATAATTGCTTAATAGGTAATCCGTACTTCTTAATATACTGCGTAGTTATTTCCTTATAACGAGAATCACTTATATCAAACCTATTTGATTGTATAAATTATATACTTACACTTATGTAGGATATATTGTCGATGATACTATTTTCTTTGATCCGTTTAATGAAACAGTACCCAGAACCGTTATCGGTGATGGTCAAACCAAGAGCTTCATCGGTCTTGGCTATTTCGATTTCTTTTGGTCTACCTAAACACGAACAAGACGATTGTAATCGACATCATATTATTTTACACCAATCGTTTTCAGACGTTACCTTTTCGGTGTACAAATATAAAATCGTCCAGACCTATTTGACTGCCTAGAAGCTTGGTCATGTCGATTTTGTGTGTGTTCAAAGTACAAAAAAGTATCTGAAATGTAAAAAAAAATGATTAAGTAAAAAATATGATTATAAAATAAAATAAAAGACAGTTTTTATTGCATATGTATCTCACGATAAGGTAAAACTATATAATGATGATGATGATGATGAATAAAAACATTGTACAATGTAGCAGTCTCAACTTGTGACTTTAAATGACAATGCGATAAGAAGAGTTCCTAAGAAATTACACGACATTATGTAGACAATAGATTTAATAATATTTTGCCTACAGTGGCTACCATTCGTTTACTACACCCAATTTTTAAACAAACAATTATAGTATTAGTAGTATTATCGAGCACTATGAATGAGGCGCATGGCGCCAAAACAGCTTAAATTATACAACATAACAAATTAAATTCGCGTTTTATCACATTAAACATTTTAGAATGACATCATATTTCAAAACCAAACCGACCTATCCCTAAAAAAAATTGATCCACTAAACGGCAGAACTTAATTTTTTTGGCACTGTCATTTGAGTAATTATAGTTGTCGCTGTGGCTGTTCTGGCGCAATGCGTCTCAAATTAAAAAATGATTTTCTTAACTCTAAGTATAAAGTAATTAAATAAAATATTAGTTATATTATATTATCGCTGTCTAGACTGTGATAGTTAAATACGCTATTAAATAATTAATGCCGCACACGTCAGTGTTTTAAAATCAATCTCAGTAATTCAAGTAGATACCCAGTTAACATGATTTATGAATGAATTGACAGTAACATATAATTTTAAAATGTGATCAGTGCGAATTTAATTATTAAACGTTTAAAACATTTTATTATGTAGCCTACTTAAAACATAAATATCATATAAAAAATAATTATTTCGATAATCTATTTTAAAATATTAATAAACTGTTTATTATTGTGTTAGCATCTTACTAATAATGACAACTTCATAGAGTACTAACCAGTTTATTATTATCCTTCCTGGGTACAAATAAATCATAATATAATAACTGCAAGTGATTAAAATATATTAATTGGAGAAATTATTTCTATTTTACAAGTATTCAAGGTGTTCTTTTATTAGATTAAACGTCATATTTTCTGTCTCACCGTACCAAACTGATTACACCTTGACAAATTTAAGGAAACGTTAAAAACAATTTATTATTGTGTTTCAGATTTCTTGAATTGGTAATAATGTGTACATGAGTATATGAATTCATATCCGTCGAATCCTATAAAAATTATAATATAATATTATAATATTTATTGTTTGTCTGAGTTTTGAAATTAAATCCAAATGATTAAACTATTTAACGATTACCAATGTATTATGGAATATATTAGGTATGTTCGTAATTAAACGGCATAACATTTTTTTGTTTATTTTGATGAAATCTGTATATTTTATCTCGTATATTTCAGGGAAACGCAAACAATACAATTATTGCTAACACAGTGAAAAGTTGTGAAATTAATTAACAAACTATTTCACGACCTTCGACCGAATTTCCGTCACTGAAAGATAAAATATATCGGCTAAACTGCGTTGACCTTCGGCTGTATACTAAGGTTTACTCAAGTTTTCCTGTAATGTCTATAATAACTATGCAAATTTCAGACCGTACACGACTAACAATAGCAATACTAAATAACATTGATGATGACATAATAATATTAACACTATCTGTGTATAATAATGTGCCTTAGAGTTTAGACCATTGAACTGATTTTGAATCCACAGCTCTTATCATTTATTAAAAAGACGTCTCGTCGACGATTTTCAATGATAAAAACAAGTTTACACTAAACAGATAAAAGTACCTTTTAAAGTGATTTTTAGAGATAATACACATAGACTAACTACTAAAAAAAATAGAGTCCCAATGACTGAAATAATAATTACACATCACGGTATAACCTTTGAGTTAAGATTTTGCAAAAAATTACCTATAGCTAACTTCTTAATAATATGGGGGTAGGTTTGACGTTACCTTAAGACTTAATGCTTTCAATATTGTATATTTTATTGTCTACAGCACAACCGGCCAATTGTACATGATGAAACATACTTAATAATAATGATGAGTCTATGAAACGCTAGCACGCAAGCGAAAAGATAAAATAATCCATAAACAGGTTTTGAATTTTGTAGCACGCTCATATATGGCCACAGGCACTTTTAATTTTTTTTTTTTATTTGGAAAGTAAAGAGTTTCTATACCGCAATCATACAGAAAAAATAATATTATTGTATAAATTTGCACACTTTGTGTGGGTTTAAGTCGATTGCCCAGTTGCCGTTGGACGCAGTTTGACGGTCAGCAAATTTAGAATGAAATGCCAATAGCACATGCACAGAAATAGTAGTTAAATAAACCGCCTTTGCATTTTGTTCACTCACTGAGAACCTAATAAGTATATAAAATGTACAAACGTTATAGTAGAATGAAGTATTCAGTAGATTTAAGTACATAAAGACAATAGTCAGAAGTCGGACTTGCTTGTTGTTCTCGAGTTAGAAATTGTTTTCAACGAAGAGAAAACGCAATATTTTATTATTAGAAAATTACTTGGAAAGGTATACTGTTGTCTTCCCACAGGTGATTCCATAATTATTAATGTACACAATATTATGTGTTAGAAGTTGTCGACTGTTGTACAAACAAGTACAAGTTTTCAACGACGGGTTTGTCGGTCATCATTAGAGATACCTATTAACACTAATTCAATGTATTATTAAACTATAACATTTGTTTTGTCCAATGTCAATCATATTCCAAAATAATTAAAAAACCATTACTGTTTAAAACATTATATTAAAACGATTTTCTCTTATTTACATAGGACTTAAGTGATTCGATACGTTTTTATTTGATTTTTTATTACTATTTAATAATATGTTCATATTATGTAATATGTAAATTCAAATTACTTTATTAGATAACCCGTTCAGCTAAGTTCTTTGTCAGACCCAGTATTTTCTACGTAAAGGTATTATTTTTGTTTACCTATTAAAATACTCAACATACCTGTCGTGTGTCTGTCAAGTATTAAGAATAACAGAAAAACACAGAAGCTAAACACTATAAACACTAATGAGAAAAATCAATTAAGTCGTATATGTCTAATGTTTGTACAATAGCTACTAATATAAACCTGAAAAGTGAGTCCATACTTGCAACTTAAGAAGTATAGTCGATGTAACGTTTTGATTAACATTATTTCAAGCACAAATATATCATAGCGATCAGAAGCTTTTAATATTATTTATTTATGCACATAACATGCAAATAGTGTTGAAATTGTGATACCCTACAAATATAATATAAATATTAAATAAGAACCCTACATAGCTATTGTGTAGCTTGACATTTCTAAAATAAACGATTTTTTCTCGAATTCAAGCATAATTTATAGACTTCATTTGTTTTAATATGTTTTCCATTACCTATTTTCGTCGTATAGATATTATTATATAATCATATTTACCGTGGTTAGTGTATTATTATGATCTGAGAACTAGTAGATTTTCCTGGGAACGACTATTATATTATCTATACTAAGATAAATTACTAGTCCTAGTTGTCGGAGGATGAAAAAAAAACGTGTTTTACTTCAGGATAATTTGTCCGTCCACAAAAACAAGAGTTCAAATTCAAAGCACTTACAATAATTATTGTTCAATAATGATGACGGATAGCCTTATAATTACAGCCACTACCCACGTCCTGTCCGGCCGGCAATTTGCTGGGCATGTGTGTTCTTTCATTTATACTACTTAACCGCAAGAGAAGAATATTTTACTATAATGTAGTGTGAAATCGTTTAATTTTAGACCACTAAAAGCATGCAGACGTATTCCAACGAATATAATCGCACTTTTCTATTTTTTAGGCTTGCAAAATAAATGTATATATATATATACTTGACTGTTTGGCTTAATTAGCATGGAAATTCCGGGTACGCGATGATCATGGTTGCTAGATCCCAAAAAATCACGGACCGTGCAACATATCATCATAATAACAATATGCATTTTACAGAACACATTACACTATAGAATACACTCCATAAAATGTATGAATATGTATATGGTCAAAATACAAAAACTATGAAAGTACCTAACCTAGAAGTTTACAGCGGTCAATTTTCCCCTTTTTTTCTCTCCTTTATTGAAAACAAATTTTGACTTTAGATTTTTAAGAAATTAAAAAACATATTGTACAGATATATTATAACAGTAATGATATACTTGTCGACGTTAATTTTTTTGATAGGTTATCTGATAATTGGTAAAACTATTATCGAATTCTAAAAAATGAGTGTCAATACTCATATATTATCTGTCTATACATGTTCTCTAATAGAATTATTACGATTTAATCTATTTTATTAATGTTTATTTTATAGATTATATACAACTCCAAAATATACAAGTGCGTAGAAATAATTTATCTATTCAAGTTACCCTGCAATATAAATGAGTAGACGCAGAATTCGGAATAATTTTTTTTAAACATTTTGAACGACCTAACTTGATTCTGTGAGTACTTCGAAATTCTATAATTTCGCTTAATATCACAAATAACCAAAAAATACATAATAAAATACAGCTGTACAAGGTCCTTGTCGACCGACCTTTGTAATAAAATGGCTATTGAGCATATTATATTTAAAAGAAAAATCAATAATAAAACTGTTTTGAGTTTTGAGTGAAAAGGCTTTTTTTAAGACAACACAGAGGAATAACTACAAAATCCAATTTTTTTTTTGTACAAGTTTAGCATGTTCATCACTCATGTTGTTATGTGTATTTTGCATTATATTATTTAGTTACTGATATTCAAATAGTAACCTATACACTGTCATCTGTAAGGTACCTACTCGACTTTGTTCGCAGACGACATAAAACGTTTCGATAACGACTTTTTATCTTTTTAGTTTTCTTATGGGACACTGTCAGGCAGGCTCAGTACCATAAAGATAACAAGAACGTGCCGTTTTACTCCTATTTTACATGTTATAATA